GCTCTCCCTCTGCCCGGGGACACCCCCCCCCCCCCCCGCCCCGCCCCAGGTCCTGCCCACCTTCCCCTCTCAGCGCTCTCGGCCACTGCCCAGCCCCTCCCGCGTGCGCCCGGACTGTTCAGGCTCATTTGTCCGGTTTGCCACGCGGCTGAGCATGGAGTCAGTCAATCAACCAATTATCGAGCGCCCGCCTGCAAGCCCCGAACGCTTCCTGTGCGGTCCGCTCAGCTCTTGCCCCCAGAGGCATTTTGGAACCTTCCCAAGACAAAAGGTGGAAGGAAGGAAGGAAGTGCCACCCTGTGGACACAGAAAAGATCGCAGTACCGGCGGCTCCCAGCCCTTCGCCCAGCCACCTCTACACCCGTCACCCGCGGAGCCCGCGAGGCCGGGATTAGCATCGCCCCGTTTGCAGGTCAGGAAACGGAGGCTCGGATGGGTCCAAACTCGCCCAACTCAAGCCAGTCTGCACACTTTCCCACCCACTGCCTCCACACTCCAGGTCCTCTGCCCTTGGGCAGGGTCCTGCAGGGAACCCCGTTTCCCACGTCCAACAGGATTCAGCACAAAGGGGCGCTGGCGGGAGGCGGGGCCTGGAGGAGGGGAGAGGCTAGAATCTCTCTCTCTGCCATGGACGGCTCTTCTCCCAGCTACCAAAATTCCTGGGCTCCAGTAATGCCATCCCTTCTGCTGTAATTTCTCTGGATGCCTCATTGTCCCCGCATTTGGTTTTTTTTTTTTTTTTTTTGCCTGTGCTGTGCGGCACGCAGGATCTTAGTTCCCCGACCAGGGACTCAATTGTACCTCGTGTAGTGAAAGCTCTGCGTTCCTAACCACTGGACCCCCAAGGGAAGTCCCATTTGGCCGAGGTGAAGCTTTAGTTGAGGCATGTGGAATCTAGTTCCCTGACCAGGCATGGTACCCAGGTTCCCTGTGCTGGGAGCATGGGGTCTTAGCCGTTGGAGCACCAAGGCAGCCCTGAAGTTTACCTTCTTAACCAGATTTAGGTGTGCAGTTCAATGGCATTCAGCACATTCACTTTGTTGTGCAACCTTGCTAACCATCTAGCTCTTTCCTCCTGCAAAACTGAAAGCCTGTACCCATTAAACACCAACTCCCCCGCTCCTCCCCCAACCCCAGGCACCCACTTTCTGTCCTACTTTCTGTTTCTAGGATTTTGACTGCACTGGGGATTTCAAGGACAGCAAGGAGATCAAACCAGTCAATCCTAAAGCAAATCAACCCTGAGTATTTATTGGAAGAACTCTTGCTTGAAGCTGAAGCTCCAGTCTCGATGCTAAGAGCTGACTCATTGGAAAAGACCTTGATACTGGGAAAGATTGATGGCAAGAGGAGACGGAGGCAGGCAAGGAAGAATGAGATGATTAGATGGCATCACTGATTCAATGGACATGAGTTTGAGCAAACTCTGGGAGGCAGTGAAGGACAAAGAGGCCTGGCGTGCTGCACAGTCCATGGGGTTGCAGAGTCAGACATGACTGAGCGACTGAACAAGGGACTTCATGTAAGTGGAGTTATACAGTAGTTATCTTTTTGGATCTGGCCAATTTCCTTTAGACAATGTCTTGGAGATTCATCCATTTAGAGCATGTTTCAGAACTTTCTTCCTTTTTCAGGCTGGATAATATTCCACTGCGTATATATACATTTTATTTATGCATTCACCTACAGATGGACACTTGCGTTTATTCCACTTTCCGGCTCTTGTGAATAATACTATGAACACAAGTGTGCAAATATCCAAGTCCCTGATTTCAATTCTTCTGTGTGTATATACACAGAAGTGGACTTGCTGGATCCCATGATGGTTTTATTTATTTTTTAAAATTTTGGCTGTACCTGGTCTTAGTTGCGGCATGAAGGATCTTTAGTCGAGGTGTGTGGGATCTTAGTTCCTTGATCAGGGATCGAACTGCATCTCCTACCTTGAAACCACAGAATCTTAACCACTGGATCATCAGGGAAGTCTTGTGGTTTTTTAATTACAGCCATACAAATGGCATGTAGGTGGCATCTCATTATGGTTTGTCCCATTTAGTCTTTTATGCTTAGTTCCTTGTATTTTTTTTTCCTATCCAATGACCTGCTGTATTCTTGTTTCCCACTTGAAAGGCCAGGACTTTCTGTGGCTTGACTGCCACGCCCTAAGATAGGGGTCTGAAATGCCCTTGAGGTCAGACTCAGGTAAAGCTGGGATGCACAAGAGAATAAGACTGAGGAGTGCAGTCCATGTACCCCGAGGTCTGTGGCTCTGGGCAAATGTTATCACAATGAAGCCAGATTTGTGATGTGAAACCTCTCAATTTATTTCTATCTTGGCAATGAATTTAATAGAATTAAATTCAGGAAAAAAGTTTTGTTTTTTTTTTTAAAGGAGAAGGCTGGGGAGGAGGAATAGTTAGAGAGTTTGGAATGGACACGCACACACTGCTATATTTAAGATGAATAACCAACAAGGACCTACCATATAGCTCAGGGAACTCTGTTCAATGTTATGCGACAGCCTGGATGGGAAGGGAGTTTGGGGGAGAATGGATACATATATGTGTATACCTGAGTCCCTTTGCTTTCCACCTGAAACTATCACAACATTATTAATCATACTCCCATATACTCCCATATAAAATGTAAAAGTGAAAGTGTTAGTCGCTCAGTTGTGTCCAACTCTTTGTGACCCCATGGACTGTAGCCCTTCTGGCTCCTGTCCATGGAATTCTCCAGGCAAGCGCACTAGAGTGGGCAGCCATTCCCTTCTCCAAGGGATCTTCCTGACCCAGCGATAGAACCTGCACTGGAGACAGATTCTTAAAATAAAAAGTTTAAAATAAATTAAGGAGAATCCCTCCCTGACACCTCCCCCCCCCCCCATATAAAAGAGCCTCTTGCCAGTCAGTTCTGTCTCATTATCTTTTTAAATATTCTTCTAGAATAATCTTTTAAAATAATTTTTTGTATCTGTTTCCTCTTCTAAAATGTCATCTCCTTGAGGGCATAGATTCTTCCTGCAGTGTCCCATACTCCTTGAACATGACCTGGCACACAACGGGTGCCCAATGTTTGTTGAATGAGTGAATAAGCAGGAAATTTAGTAAAACTTCAGTTCAGCACCTGCACAACTGCTCCCCAGCTGAGCACAACATCCCCTCAGAGGCTGCAGCCTGTGTTGACACTGTAGGAAAATGTTCCCTTTCCAGATCCTTCTCCCGGGGCGGTGGGGGCGGGGAGGAGTCTTGTCCATCAGCAGCTGGCGGGAGCCAGAGAAAGGCAGAAGAAAGCACTTCTAGTTTAGTCAAATACTTTATTTAAGAAATGTAATTGATCACAGTAAGGCATTCAGGCTATAAAAACATTCTATACAGTGGTTTAAAAAGCGACACCCATCCTCAAAAAGCAACCATATATACAACACAGAACCTGATTCTCTTGAAGAGGGCTGCGCACAGCACGCTCAAATAAGCTTTGTACAGAAAGACAAGGCATCTTTGCAGCAACCAGGACTTGCAAAAATAAATAGATCTTTCTTTTATATATACACACGTAAGTGAGAAATGTTTCAACAAATATACAAAGTGCAAACATAACAAAAAGCCCCCACTGTCTGCTCGGCGGTGGTGGGGGTGTTATTTACATGCTTCAGAAAGAGAAAAGGTGTTCACAGTTTCTGGCAGGGGTGCCGTGTTCTGTGGTTGTACAGATGTTTCTACGGGAGGTTGCCCCCATCCGACCCCCACCCCCCAGTGGTCATAAATATCATATGTGTGGCAATTTCAGAAAGCATCCTTATTTAATGAATTCCATGAAATTCCCAAGCCCAGAGCACATCTTACAGGGCAGACCTGCCATGCATGTTTCAGACGGACACCGGCCAACCATGACCAGCTTGTAGGGGATATGAATGGCTCAGCGGCCTCTGCCTAGAAGTGGAAACAGTAGGCAGATCGTCTAGTCGTAATCTTGGCTTTGAAGTCGTGATCGAACCACCACACACACGTCTCCCTACATGCTAGAAGAGGGGCCGGGTCTGGGAGAAGGGCCGGGTCGGTACCAATCATCAACCCGGACTCTGCAGCCAGAAGGGAACCAGAATGGAAAGTAGTGCAAAATAATAATAGAACATCGACTTTACACAGTGTACGACCCTGAACTGAAAAAGTGCAAGGGGTAGGGCTGGGGTCCAGACACCCACTCCCGGACAGAGGGATACAGTTAAGAGGTGAGAGCTGCTCATCTTCACGCACAAAGGGGGTCTCAGGCACTTAATACATGTATGTTAAGGGCGACTGGCGGCTCACATTTGTTTTCTCTGGGGATGATCGGGGTTTTGGTGAATGAATAGGGTTCAGTGGGTGCCACTCCTGGAAAGTTGGACCCAGGGTTCCCTCCTGGCTTAAGTGGAGGACAAACCCGGCTTGGAAAACCCTAGTTTGATCCTGACCAGGGGGTGGCAGACCAACTCTGGCCATCCCGCAGGCTCACCTGACAGAGGTAAACACGTTCAGTCCTGAGTGTGGGGCCTGGGCTAGAGGGTGGATGGCGGCAGCAGCCACCTGGGACCCTGTGGGTAGCACCTGCTCTCGTGCGTTCAAAGCCACTAGCTTTCCGGCTCCATGTCCCTCCGTCATTCCCTCCGGGGAGGAGCGTGTCTAGAAGGAGAGCAGCTCAGAGATTCCCGGAGAGGACAGATCCCCCAGCTAGTCTGTCTTTCTCCTTCACGTGTAAAGAAAGGAAGAAAAAAAAGCAACCCAACTGCCTCCTGTGGGCGCCGTCTGAAGCCTGTTCTGCCTCCCAGAAAAATAAATATATAAAACAAAGCTGTGGCAGATAGGCAAACGGTGCCTGGGCTGCAGTCACCAGCAGTGCTTTCGGTGCGGAGGTCTCAGGGAGGGTTGGGGGCAGGTCAAGGGTCGGGGGAGAAAGTGTTCTTCCTGCCTTTGAGTGACTGGCGGCGGGTTCCGGGGAGGGACAGGACTCGAGGCAGCAGCTTATGCCACGTCATCCTCCAGGCTGACCATCTGTCTCTGTCGACAAAACAGTAAACGCCGGAAACGATCAGTCCAACATCCAGTAAACATGGCCACAAGCCACCCACGCCTGACTCTCCTGGTCCCCCAGGCCACCCCCCTCATCTACCGCTGGGCCCGCGCAAAGGCCTCCACCCTCCTCTCGGGGCTCTGGAACTTGGCCCAGGCCTGTTCCTCACACAACCACCAGGGGCGCCCGTGAGCACCTGAGTCTGATCAGGCCCACAGCCTCCTGCTCCATCTGCCCCTTCCCCTCTCACTCTCCGCCCCTCAAACACACAGGCAGGGTTCGGCCATAGGGCCTTTGCACAGGTGGTGCCTGCTGCATTCCGTACACTCCCTACTCAAGAAAGCCTTCCGGGCCACCTTATCCGACGTCGCCTCCCCTCCCTCCCAGACGCCCCACAAAAAAACTCAGGCCCCCCTTCCGGCTTTCACCCTTGGACCTATGTTCCCTTGGCTTACCCTCTGGCCCTGCCGCCCCCCTCCTCCCCATCCCATGCCCCCCACTCTGTGAGATCGTCCGCTCTCGAGGAGGGCCTGGCCTTTAGGAGGCCTGAGGAACACTCAGACACTCGGCTGCCGGCAAGGTCCCCAGCGGGGCGGCTCACCGAGGGGTAGGTGTAGCCGTCCTGGCTGCGGCAGATGTGGACCTCGTCCTCCGTGGTCTTCTGGTACACAGGGTTGTCAAAGTTGATGCTGTTGATGCTCTTGAGCCGCCAGTTCTTCCAGAGGAGGAAGGTCCCGAAGGCCAGGAGGATGAGCAGTGCTGCGGGGAGAGGGGAGGGGTGCTGCCTTCAGACGCCAGGCCTTTCACGGGGAAATGTTTTTGTTTCCAATTTATTATCTGTATTTTTCCAATTTTCCTAATATTTGGGACTTGTCTGATGGTCCAGCAGTTAAGACCCACTGCAGGGGAAGTGGGTTCCAACCCTAGTAGGGGAACTAAGATCTTCCCAAATGCCCCGCAAAACATTAAAAAAAAAAAAAAAAAAAAAAAACTTGCCCACTGTAAAAAAAAAAAAAAAAAATCCATCAGTGAGTATAACAAATCTCTAGCTTGAAGACCACTGTGACTACCTCACACCCCCCAAATACCCAACAATTGTTGGGTATATAGTAGGCTCACATTATGAAGCACTGGGTCAGGGGCTGCCGGTCTCTTGAGACCAAAGATTCAAGACACATTCTCAGTGGCCGGGGAGGTCACTGGTGGAATTTTTCAACCTGCTTCTACATTTGATGACAAGAAGGCTGTTGTCAATTTTTCCACGTTTCTTGTGTATTAGTCACACATCAGTTACTTTGTTTTCACAAATGGGATTGTTCTCAACATTTGGGGCCACCGTAGCACACCCTGCTTCTGTGTGAATGCGGATAATGAGGGATCCCTCTTTGCATCATTGATGGTGGGTCTTGGGGTGCCGTTTCCTGTCCCCTCCCTGCCTCCTCTCCTGGGATCCAAGCAACAGCCAGGGGCTCACACTGCCTAGGTTTGTAAAAGATCCTGGCTGGTGCCCAGAGAGCGGGAAGATGCCAGTTGGGCATTACCCTGAGGCAGCCTCACCCTGAGGTGAGGGCCTCCCCAGGCAAGTGTATCAACCCACAGCCGAACAACTGGTGGGACTTAGATCTCTGGTCTCTGTGAAGGGACACCTTTAAAGGATTTTTTTTTTTCAAAAAGGGAAAGTCGGTATGATGCAAACCAAGCCATGATTGACAGGTGAGGGCAGGAAAGTAGAAATCTCCAAACTGCCCCCTGAAACAGAACAACTCATCAGGAGGTACCCCTGCTGGTGCCTTCTCATGCTTTGGGTGTTGGTGAAAGTGCCCGTCAATCATACCGGGAACCCTGGCCCAGTCCCCCTTCCCCCACATGACATCTCAGATGTCCCACTCTGCTGTCAGCTCCAAGGGGGCGAATATTTGTTTCTCTCTGGGCTCTGTCCCCAGTGCTCAGAAGTGGCCTTGGTATACAGTAGTTGCTCAACTATATTTGTTTAGTGAATGAAGCTAGGAAGGGGGTTGCTCAGTGATAAACAGGACAGACACACAATGGGCCACGCCAGTACTGGGGGAAAGGTGGGCCAGAACGGCTTGCCGGGAACAGAAGTCATTTTGCAGGAAGCAAAAAACCAGGGGAGGACTGGCCACAGGCTTACCGATGGGGAGGACGATGTATAGGGCACCCACGCTCCCGGGCTTCTCCGTGTCTGCTCGGTTGGCAATGTCACCCAGGGCTGTGGGAGAGAAGGGAGAAAGTGAGGCCCAGATCCAGCGTGACAGGGTGGGAAAACACAGCAGGTATATGATGTCAATATGCAGAGGAAAACACCTGACAATTCTCAGTGTCTTCAAATGTCCAAAGGAACTTGGAGTATCTCCCAGGCTTGAGAGGTGCCAGGCTGGCTTCTGTCCAGGCCTCGCTTGTGGGCAATTGGGATTATGGCCCGAATTTAAGAGAGTCCTTTAGGCTCGCATTATGAGGCACTAGAGAAGGGGGATGCCAGTCTCTGAGACCAAAAATTGTGGATACATTCCCAGTGGCTGGAGAGGTCACTGATGGAATTTTTCAACCTGCTTCTGCATTTGATGTTGTTGTTGTTTAATCACTAAGTCGTGTCCCCCAGGTTCCTCCACCCATGGGATTTCCAGGCAAAAATACTGGAGTGGGTTACCATTTCCTTCTCCAGAGGATCTTCCGGACCAGGGACAGAACTCACAATCTCCTGCATTGGCAGGTGAGCCCCCTGGGAAGTCCCTGCATTTGATGACAAGGAGCCTATTCTGGATGAGGGCAGGGGTCACCTTCTGTCCCCGTATTTCTCAGCAATTTCAGTGCTTGGGTTGGATCGCACCAAAGACCTATAGTCCTGTGCCAGCTGGCCCCAGCTGATAAATATTTGGGGAAGAGACTTCCCTGGTGGGCCAGTGGGTAGGACTTCACCTTCCGATGCAGGGAGTGTGGGTTTGATCCTTGGTTGGAAAGCTAAGATCCCACATGCCTCTCCACCAAGAAACCAAAACATGAAACATAAGAAATATTGTAAGAAATTCAATAAAGACTTCAAAAAAAAAAATAACAAAAAAAGAGATACTGGAGGTGACATTGTTATATAATCACATGTGTACACCTGGGCCAGACAATAAGCCAGTGAGCAGTAATGACCATCACCAGTTATATTCAAATCCCTCCTGGGTTTTAATCCTACCAGCTCTCATACATGCTGTGAACAGAGTTTGTATCCAGTTTTACATTTGTGCTTATTTAAGAAATCTGATGCTGGGAGGGATTGAGGGCAGGAGGAGAAGGGGACGACAGAGGATGAGATGGCTGGATGGCAACACTGACTTGATGGGCATGAGTTTGAGTAAACTCCGGGAGTTGGTGATGGACAGGGAGGCCTGGCATGCTGCAATTCATGGGGTCGCAAAGAGCCGGACACGACTGAGCGCCTGAACTGAACTGAAGAAACCTCACCACAAAAATAACTTAGGGCAGTAGCAGCAGTGTCCTTTAAAAGAGCTCCTTTGCCAAATTTGAGAAGCCCCAGATGGGCCCGTCTGTGAAATGGTATTTCAAGCGGTGGCACTTCAATCGAAAACGGTTCTGGGCCTCTCTCTACCATACAGTTCCTGTTGTATCCCCTTTATGGTGGAACAAAGGATTCAGCTACTTTGAAGGGGGAAAAAAATGTCTGAAACTTGCTAATGTGCTGTTTTTGTTTTTCCTGGTCAGAAAAGCCTGTGCTGTTTCTGGACTGATCAAAAACAGGGTCGGGCGCCCTCTGCTGGACAAAGCAGTGAACGGCGGGTCTCCAATCAATCAAGCTGGGGAGGTGGTCGAGTAAGACCTTGAGGGCAGGCTAAGGGAACTGGGGACTCGCCTCAGTCACAAAATTTAAAGGGATCCCCCCAAACTCAGTAAACCAGTAACATTATAATGCATTATCAAATGCATATCAAAATTAATGCCAATGGGAACTCCCTGGCTGATGGTCCAGTGGTTAGGATTCCACCCTCATTGCTGAGGGTCTGGGTTCAATCCCTGGTTGGGGAACTAAGATCTCATAAGCCACGTGGCATGGCCAAGGAAAAAAAGAAAAAGAAAAGAAAACAAAAATCAATGCCAATATCTCATGAAGAACAAAAGAGCAAAATTTTTAGGAATACACTTTGCAAAACCTGCCTCATTGGGACCAAACAAACTTTATTTATCAGGACTATCCCCACAGGCCACAATTTGACTATTTGATTTAAAAATAATAATGCATTAGAAATAAATTAATTTTTAAAGTGTAAAAGAAAAACTAAAAAAAAAAAAATTGCATTAAAATATTATCTGAGTCCTGGATTTTTTGGTGCCCCCTTTAGGCACTACCCCAGGGAGTGAGCGCCTGACCTGCCTCACACTAGTCTTGGCCTTGCTGGGCAGACACCTGAAACTTCAGGTTCTTCCCACGCTCATGTGATCCTCACTTTTCCAGGGAGGTGGGCAGGACTGTTACTAGCTCCAGGTAGGGAAACTGAGGCTTCAGACAGGCACAAGCCATGCCAGAGATAGTCAGCAAAAGAACCAAGACTAAATCCACTGTCTCTTCACAGAGATGCTGGTTATCAATGAACTGGGGCAGGGAGCGGGGGTAGGTGGCTGCAGCCTTTACCTTGTTGGGAGATTGTCACTGACTCGGCTGTGGTGAGCTCAGGCCTGGCTGTGCGCTTTGGCCCCACAGCTGTTGAGCTGCCCATGGAGGGTCCGTGGATGGTCACTGCAGATTCAGACTCTGAAAGAATAAACATTTCCTGAGTGTCCTGTGGCCTAAGCACCAATGATAGTTGTGCTGCTGTTGAAAACAGGTAGGAAGCAAGTGCCATGGGCCACAAAGAAATAACTGAAGACAAATGCAGTGAAAATACAAACCCACTAGTGTCTATGTTATTATATTACACGTTGTCTTTCAAAAGGAAGATTCGTAAGTGTTACAGACACACTGACCCCCAATAGGGACTTTCTCTGAGGATGCAGAGACTGAAAAAGGGGCCGTATTCTCCCTTAATGTCTGCAACTAAAATCAGGGCCTCCCCGCCAAAGAGGGCTGGGAACGAGAGAACTGGACCTGAGTCCATCTCCCTGCTAGTACCCAGTGCTGATGTACCCAGTATTTGAGAAAGGCCTTACAACAGCCTTCAGGGGCCTTGCTCTCCCATTTGACAGATGAGCAAAGAAAGGCTGCAGGGCTGACCCTCAAGGGTGGCAGAAGGCCGAGCCCCACCTGTGAGGCAGCTTCTCATGTCCTTGGCCAGCAGCATGCTGTCGGGGCAGGCACAGGTGAACTTGGGTGAGCGGGGGTTGATCTGTGGGGCTGGCAGACACAGGTACTGGCAGCCACCATTGCGGAGGGCCGTCCTCTCACACCAGTTCACCCCTGCGGCGGGAAAAGGCAGGGAGGCAGGACGAGAATGAGGTCAGAAAAACTCTGGAACATTCTAGAGCACAGGCAGAGAAGTGGAGGTAGTGGGGGAGGCCACCCCATCTTTACCTCTCGGCTGTGTGAGGTTGTGGAAAAGGACAATGTCCTCCGGAGATAACAGGTTTTCCGCCATCAGGTTGATGTCTGAGCCTGTGAGGCGGTTGGCACTAAAAATGGCTTCGTTGATAATATCTGTCCAAAATACTTTATCCTACAGGGGCATAAGGAAAATGACATATCCCATCAACCATAGGGGACATGACCACTGGTTCCACACCCCTCCAAATGGGTCCACGGGGGTGGGGGTGGCAGGGCGAGGAGCAAGGAGAAGTCACAGGTGATGCTGGGGGCTTTAGGACTTGGGCATTCTGCTCCCCAAAGGAGGAAGAGCCCCACTCTGAGGACCCAGCACTGGGGAAAATCATCGGATCCCCCCAGCTCCTGCCCCAACTTGCAAGCCTGAACTGGATGCAGGTGTCGGGGGAAGAGAATTGAATTTGGGGTTATAAACTCTCAACAGAGCCCCCTGGCCATCTCTCTCTTCCAGAGCCTTTTTTCTTTAAAATTTTCTTAATTTTAAAAAAGGAGTGATTGCGTGCCCCCAGCCCCCACCTCAAAGATGGCCAAGGAGAAAGGGTGCGCCAGCTTCTTCTTGTCCTCCAGCACGGTCCTCCGGTTGCCCCCGTTGAAGTCAATGCTGGAGATGGAGTGCAGTTTGGAGTCAACCCAGTAGAGGCGGCCGCCAGAAAGATCTAGAACCCACAGTGGGGGCAAGGAGAGGTCACAGGTGATGTCCGAGCCTTGGGGCTTGGGCATCCCGCTTCTTGCAGGAGGGAACCAACCCCCCACCCAACTGGACCCAGTGCCTGAGAAAGCCATTCAGATCCACACCCACCTCCCACCCAAACCGCATGCAGGTGTGGTGTGGGGAGAAGGGAGCTGAGTTTCTGGTGCTACACTCTCACGGAGCCCCCTCGTCATCTCTCCTCCAGACCCTGCCTGACCCCAAGGACTACTGTGCCCCTAATGTACCCAGAGTGATGCCATTGGGCCACTGGATGTCCTCGGTCACCAGCGAATAAACGTCCACGCCGTTGAGGCCCCCCTTCTTGATCTCAGCAGGGGTGCCCCAGTCGGTCCAATACATGAAGCTAGGGGGGCAGCAGGAAGGACAGACAGGAGGACATCAGGGAGCGAAGCTGTGACCACCCGGAAGGGCTGCTCTCCCCCCGGCATCAGCCCGGCCAGGACCGCCCCCCCTGCCCTCCCGCAGTCCCTACTGGGGGAAGCCCTGGATGGGTTCTTTCTGGTCCCCTAACTTAACTTGCTGCTCCCTGGCGGCTCAGGTGGTAAAGAATCTGCCTGCAGTGCAGGAGACCTGGGTTCGATCCATGGGTGGGGAAGATCCCCTGGAGAGGGAAATGGCAACCCACTCCAGTATTCTTGCTTGGAGAATACCATAGTAAGGAGCCCGGCATGCTACAGTCCAGAGGGTCGTAGAATCAGACTCGACTTAATGACTAAACCCCACCAACCTTGCCGGTTCCAGGGCCTGCAACCTGGTGAGACCCGGCAAGATTCAGGGACCTTTGAGAATAAAGGAAGATTTTCATTCCAGTGTTGGGACTGGGGCCCTGGAATCTGCTCTCTGAGCCTGAGGGTTTTATAAATTTGTTTTGGTAATTTTTTTGGTTTTTTAAATATACACACACACGTATATACAAAGAGATTTTTTTACATTGTGGTGTTAATAAAATATACATAAAATTTACTGTTTAAACATTTTTTAAAGTACGAATTTATTTATTTATTCTTATTATTCTTTTTCAGGCTGTGCGGCATGTGGGATCTAAGTTCTCTGAATCGGGATTGAACCCATGCCCCTTGCATTGGGAGCACAGAGTACCAGCACTGGACCGCCAGGTTAAGTGTATGTTATCCTGCAGATAAATTGCAAGGACTCATATTCAAAGGCATTCAAAGCTGTTCATGGCTACTTTGTATGAGGCAGGGGAGAAAAACTTAAATTTCCATGTGCTGGAGAGCAGTTTAAATAAATCATGGCCCATGAGGCCGAAGGAAAGGAAACTCATAGACCACATGGAAGAGCCAGGTGGCTGGTGCCTGCTGTTTAGGGGGAGAAATATAAGAGCAGAGCAAGTGATACAAGTCCAAGTGCAGTGTGTGTCTGGGAGGGTCTCTCTCTCCTGGCATCTGGACAGACCAGATGACCCTCCACCAAATGAGGGCATTAGTCTTGTTGGATGAAGGCCTGCTGGGCCCACCTTCATCCCAGGGTCCCTCCAATCTGAGCCGTGGACACTGTGCTAGAACAGCCAAGTGTGGCTTCGCCAACGTTTTTTCTCTGAGGCCCATTGCTCCCTCTCCTCCAATGACTGCAGCCAGAACAGGCTGCCCATCCTGGTGCGTGCCACGGGGTGGAGACCTTCACTTCGTTTGCAAGAATTGTCGTTTGGCTAATGCTGGCCTTAAGTGTGTATGTGTTTTTTATTTTAAGTGTTCAGTATTTCTTAAGGACATTGTCTTTCTTGTTTTCATGGAACTGGGCTGTGTGTTCACTTGCGAGAGGTCTTGGGGATGTAGCGAACGGTCTACATCCCCCACCCTGTGCAAAGTTCAGATGATAAAATTCCCACCATAACGGAGCCTCTCCCACTGAGAGTGCAGGGGACGTGGGAAGACCCCACATGCTTCGGAGTTAACTAAGCCCATGTGCCACAACTACTGAGCCTGAGCTCTAGAGCCCAGGAATCGCAACTACTGAAGCCCATACGCCTTGTGCTTCAAAACAAGAGAAATCACCACAGTGAGAAGACTGTGTACAACTAGAGAAAGCCTGAGCAAAACAATGAAGAGCTGAGGCATCCGAAAATAAATAAATACATAAAGAAAAATCTGTGCCCTCCCCCTGCCAAAAAAACCCACAAACAGAGCAAAAGTTAATCTGGTCTGATCTGGTCATCTGGTCTACCTAAGCCCAAACCTCCCCCCATTCAGAGTTCTAATCCATTTATGAACCCCACCCCTAGGAATACCCACCCGTGGACAGGATCCACCACAATGGCCCGTGGCTTGGAGCCTTCCTCCTGGAAAAGTGTCTTCCTCTTCACGCCTTTGGTGTCGGCCACGGAGACGGTGCCCAGGATAGAGTCGGTCCAATAGATGTTGCTGTGGATCCAGTCCACCGCTAGCCCGTCAGGGGCCTGGAGATCCTCGCCAATGATGGTGTCGTAGGAGGAGAAGCCGGGGGCTCCGTCAATCTGGGCACTGAGGGGAGAGGAGAAGGAAGAGGGGAGTGTCAGCTCCGGGGGCCCTCTGTCCACTCAGGGACTGGGGCTGCATGCGGCTGGGGGAGCGGGCAGGCTCACCTATAGATCTTCCTCTGGGACAGGTCAGACCAGTAGATCCTGTTACTGGCCACCTCCGTGTCCAGGGCGACCACATTCTTAAGGTTGGGGATAAGGCTGGTGTACTCACTTCGGTCCAGAGTCATCTTCCTCACTTCGTGGCGGTTGGTGAAGAAGAGGTAGGCAATGGTTCCTGGGGAGCGGGGAAGGAGGGGGTTCAGGGGAGTGGAAGGGACTCTGACCTCCAGAAACATGGGATCCCTTGATTTAGGTGCTTCTAAGAATCACTGCATGGTTGCAGTTCTAATCTAAACTTCAGGTAGAAGAAATTCAATGATGTCTATTTGTTTAATTGCATGCTAAATTGATTTAGTCCTCTTTTCAACCCCATGGACTATAGACTGTCATGCTCCTCTGTCCACAGGATTCTCTAGGCAAGCATACTGGACTGTGGTGCCATTTACTTCTCCAAGGGAACTTCCCCACCCAGGGATCAAACCCGAATCTCTTACATCTCCTGCATTGGCAGGCAGGTTCTTTACCACTAGTGCCACCTATTTTGTTTCATTATGAGGTATTATATTTTGGTCTCTTTTCAGTGGATTTGCTTTTTTCCCCCTTCTCTCTCTCTCTTTTTTTTTTTTTGGCCATGCCACATGCAGGATCCTAGTTATTGGACCAGGGATCAAACTGAAGCCCCCTGCATTGGAAGCATAGAGTCTCAACCACTGGATCACCAGGAAAGTCCTGGACTTACTTTCTTCGGTATAAATTCCTTTTGCTGGAGCAGGTATAGGCTGTCTGGCTGATGGCTTCCCATCTCCTGTCCCCTGAAGCCCCTTCAAGATCAGAAGCTGCAAAGCATCCCTGGTGGGATTGATCTGCATCTTCAGAGCGTGGGCAGTCACCTAGCCTGACTGCTAACTGGGCTGTGTGTTCACTTGCCAGATGTCTCAGAAGCAAACGGTCTACCCCCGGGTGCAAAGTTTGGATGATGAAATTTCCACCACATGGGCTACCCCTCATGCCACCTCCCTGCACTTACCCACAGCCTTGCAGGCCTTGGTGAGGGGCTCCAGCCGGAAACCCTCTTCGCACTCGCATTTGTAGCTGCCCTCGAGGTTCACACAGAGCTGGCTGCAGGTGTCAGGATTCTGACACTCATCGATATCTGAGAGTTGGGACACAGAGAGAACTTGGGCATCTTCCCAGCAGGGTGCAGATGGAGCCATGGGCTCTGATCAAGAGCCACGCCTCCCTGTGGCAAATGGCAGACAACCCATCCCCTCTCGGGAAAACCTTCAGGACAGGAGGCTCTGACCAACAGTTTTTTTTTTTTAATTTTATTTATTTATTTGGTTGCACCGGGTCTTAGTTGCAGCACGTGGAATCTTTAACTGAGGCATATGAACTCTTAATTGCAGCATGTGGGATCTAGTTCCTTGACCAGGGATCGAACCCAGGCCCCCTGCTTTGGGAGCGTGAAGTCTGAGCCATTGGAAGTCCCTGATCACGGAAATCTTGAAAATGGCCAAGCATCATCTCTAACAGTGACCATAATCTCACCATTTACTTCAGGGCACAGTCAACTGGGCAAAGTTGCATCAGCTGAGATGTCTTTCTTAATTATTAATCCCCAAAGGCCAAAAGCAAGTGCTCCCCAAGGGCCAAGCTGGCGACAGCTGGCTCAAGCACCTGGCCTCCTACCAGCCCTATGAGGAGGAAATGGCACCTGCACCCACTTCACAGATGGGAAAACTGAGGCTGAGGCTTTGACCCCCCTCTTCTTCCAAGGAAAGGGCCAGGGGCTTGGGAATCACCTTCACATCTGTGCTTGTCCACTAGCTGGAAGCCTTCAGGACACAGGCACTCGTAGCCAATCTTGAGGTCGTTGCAGATGTGAGAGCAGCCTCCCTTGTTGTCCAGACACTCGTTGGTCCCTGTGCCAGATGCGGGAGGGGCACCGGTCACACTCTGGCCTCCAGCCACCCCTCCCCCAACATCCTGCACTATTTCTCCCTCATCATAACCAACACGATGACTGCATGGCTGGTGAAGTTACCATGACTCCTAAGAGGTCTAAGAGCCACTGTCACATGTGACATCATGAATGAACCATGCAATTGTTGTCGATGTTTAGTCGCTAAGTTTTGTCCCACTCTTTGCGACCCCATAGACGGTAGCCCACCAGGCCCCTCTGTCCATGGGATTTCCCAGGCAAGAATATTGGGGTAGGTTGCGATTTCCTCCTCCAGGGGATCTTCCCAACCCAGGGATCGAACCTGAGTCTCCTGCAATGGCAAGTGAGCCACTTTACCAGACTGAGCCACTAAGGAAGCCCTATGAGGGTGTTAGAGTGAGTGAAATAAGCTGGGTACGGAAGGACAAATACTGCACTATTCCACGTGAGGCCCCTATTGGGGTCATATTTATAGAGACAGAAGGTAGGAGGGTGGGTGCAGAGGTTGGGGGAGGGGGAGTTAGTGTTCAGTGCGGACAGAGACTCAGTTCTGCAAGATGAAATAGTTCTGGAGATGGATGGTGATGAATGAATACTGTGAATGTACTTAAAACATGCCTGAACTCTACACCTAAAAATGGCTAAAACCATAAATTTTGTGGTTTTTTTTTAACCATAATTAAAATTTTTTTTAATTATAAAAAATAAAAGCCACATATCACTTACTACAGTTACATGTATTAACTCACTTAATCCTCCCTACAGGAAATGGCAACCCACTTCAGTATTCTTGCCTGGAGAACTCCATAGACAGAGGAGCTTGTCCATGGGGTCGAAAAGAGTTGGACAGGACTGAGTGACTAACACACACAAAACCCTCCCTATGACCTTAAAAGGCAAGAGAATTATAGCTGGGAAAATCGAAGCATGGCCAGGTTAAACAGTTTGTTTAAGATCACATGGCTTGATGCAAACCTAGGGTGCTGGGCTCCATAATCCATGCTCTTACCCTCTATACTAAGCATGGACCAAAGCCAGCCCCCAACCTGCTCTTTGACAGCAGAGAATGGTTTTTACATTTTAAAATAGTTGAAAAGAAAATAAGAATCAAAAGCAAAATATTTCAAAAGTTCTATGAAATTCGAGTGTCTGTATCCATAATAGAAATTTCCTTGGAGTATGGCCCTTGGCATTCAAATGCACGAGTATGGGCTTGTGTGGGTGCTTTCCTGCTAAGGCCAAGTAGAAGAGCTGCAACAGAGACCCTATGGCTTGGAAAGTCCAAATCATGGGTCACAGTGTTGCTGAAAATACTTGCATCAGCTGATCTCCAGCAGCCCTAAGATGTCTGGGAAGTTACTGCCCCATCTTACAGATGGGAAAATTGAGGCTTAGAAGCCAATCCACTTATCCCCAGGCTCCCCCAACTAACATCTGTCCAGTCCCAGAGTCACAGCACTTGGGGGCTTGGGCAGGGCTGGCCCCTCAGAGCACCATAGCACCCACGTTTCAACGTGGTGGATCCCACCCTCAATACAACCAGGTGCCCACACCCCAGGGCTCACCACAGTCCTTGAGGGGCTCGTCCGACCAGTCCCGGCAGTCCCTGATGGAGTTGCACACTTTGTCCAGGGAGATGCACTCACCGCTTTGGCACTTGAACTTGTTGGGCCCCTCGCAAAGAGTCACTATGAGAACCACAGAGGAGGGTCAGGTGCTTCCAGGAGACCGGAGGTGGCTTAGTGCTTTTTATTAATATTATTATTTATGCAAGAATAGATACAAATGTATTTGGTGGTAAAACAGAATAGTTACTGATCATACATGAAGCCTCCATTCAGCTTAAGAATTAGAATATCACAAACAGCAGGGGCTGGTAAACTCTGGCCTGATGCCTGTTTGTTTAAATAAAAGTTTTATTAGCACACAGCACTGCCTATTAGTTTATATACTGTCAGTGGCAGACTTCATGCTATAATAGCAGAGTCAAGTAGATATAATTGAGACTATGGCCTGCGGAGTTGAAAATTCTTACCCTCTGGCCCTGACCTAAACTATTATAGTAGTCTATGCCGTCCCATTCTACTACCCCCAGAGGTAATGATAATCTTGAATTTTGATTACCTTTATTTTTTCATTAATAGTTCTATCAAACATATATGAATGAACAATCTACTGTTGAATTTTGCTTGTTTTTGAGTCTTACTTAATAACTGTATCCAGTTAAATTTCTGCAATTTCCTTCTTGCTTGCAACCCCAAGGTTATGAAGTTTGCCTGGGCTGCAGACAGAGGCTGCAGCCTCATTTTTCTCAGCTGTATGATATTCCACCCTGTGATGACGCTGCCGCTTAAAATTATTTCCATGCAACCCTGTTCACAGCAGCACTATTCACAACAACCAAGGGGTGGAAGCAACCCAAGTGTTCATCCACAGGTGACTGAGTAAACAAAATGTGGTCCATCCATACGATAGAATATTATTTTGCCTTAAAAAGGAAGGAATTTCTGACATCTTCTGTAACAGGGATGCACATTGAGGAAATGATGCTAAGTGAAATAAACCCATCACACAAAGACACATTTGTGATTCCAGTTACATAAGGTCAAATACTAGAGGAGTGGAAATCATAGAGATGGTAGAATAGTGGGTACCAGGGGCTCGAGGAGGGAGAGTAGGGAGTGAGTGTATAATGGGAACAGAGTTTTAATTTGGGAAGATGAAAGAGTTCTGGCAATGGATGGTGAGGATGGTGACTTAGCACCACTGGACTATACTCTTAAGAATGGTTAAGACAGTAAATTTTGTTACATGTGTTTTTTTGTTGTGTTAGCCACTCAGTCCTGTCTGACTCTTTCAGACACCATGGACTGTAGCCCATCAGATTCTCTAGGTAAGAATACTGGAGTGGGTTGCCATTCTCTTTTCCAAGGAATCTTCCCGGTCCAGGGTTCGAACCCACATCTCCTGTGTTACAGGCAGATTCTTTACCATCTGAGCCACCAGGGTAGCCCATAGAAGTACTTCACCACAATTAAAAAAAAAAATTTTATTTTACATTAATTCTACTGCTAGGACTTCCCTGGTGGTTCAGTGGTTAAGGCTCTGAGCTTCCAATGCAAGGTACGTGGGTTTGATCCCTGGTCAGGGAACTAAGACCCCACATGTCATGCAACATGGCATATATATATATATATAAAAACTAATTCTACTGCTGATGAACATTCTGGTTGCTTCCACTGTTTTGCTGTTGCTTCTTCCCCCACATCTCCCCACAGCCCAGGACCCAGGAGGGGTGGGGCTCACCGTTGACGCAGCCCAGCTCGTCACTCAGGTCCTTACAGTCAGGCTCCCTGTCGCACTGCCGGCTGCCATGGATGCAGGTCCCATCCGAGCACTGGAATTCATCAGGCCGGCACGTGGCCACAGCTGGGAAAGAAAGAGCCAAGTGTGGGGAATAAGAAAGGGAAAGCACCCTAACCCTGTTACATTTTCTTAGATTTCTCTCCAGTCTGTCCTTGCATGCAGGAAATTCATTAAATGGCAGATCGGGGAATTCCCTGGTGGTTCAGCAGCTAAGACTCTGTGCTCCCAATGCAGGGGGCCCAGGTTCGATCCCTGGTCAGGAAGCTAAATCTCTCATGCCACAGCTAAGGCCTGGCACAGGTAAATAAATAAATATTTAAAAAAAAAAAAAAAAAGCTGGCAGACCTAGTAGGCCACTCTTGGCAGAAAAGCAATGATGTGGTCCCAATCTAGATAGACGCCTGGCCAGGTAAGTTATGACGTTGCTGTTGTTAAACCTCTAAATTGTGTCTGACTCTTTGCGACCCCATGTGCTGTAACCCACCAGGCTCCTCTGTCCATGGGATTTCCCAGGCAAGAACACTGGAGTGGGTTGTCATTTCCTACTCTAGGGAATTAATATCTCGCTGACCTAGGGATCAAACCCAAGTTTCCTGCATTAGCAGGTGGATTCTTTACCACTGAGCCACCAGGGAAGCCCATTGCCCACCTCCCCCCCAAATAAATCATTACTACTGAGTATCATACAGCCCTTCCAATGACTTAGACTGTGAACATGAAAAATGTTCCTGAGCTGACACTAAGTGAAAAGAATGATGTTTTGATGCAATCTTGGCAGATGCACGTGGTGACTAGAATAGGATCACTCTAACCACAGACTAGACCTTGACCTCAAACAGGTTTTCACTTAACCTGAATTCATTAAGCTCTAAGCTTATGCTTTCTGCACTTTCCCGTGGGTTATATTTCACTATAAAAATGCTGCCAATGTGAAAATCCAATTTCCAGAGGTCAATGGAAAAAAGAAAGATGATAAATAAGTATGCAAATGTTTGGAACTTGTTTGTGTGTGTGTGTGTGTGTGTGTGTGTGTGTGCTCTTATGTCGTAACCCAAGTCCACCGAGGCCCACACTATTGCTCCATCTACAGGGGAGGAGATCAAAACACAGTAAGGCTAAGTCCCCGGCCAAGGGTCACACAGCTTGGATATCACCAATCAGGCCTGGATCCTTTCTGGACCAAAATAATACAGCGTGCTGTAGTTTGCTCCTCTTGACAAGAGATAAATTAAATAGGGGTTTGAGGGACTTCCCTGGTGGTATAGTAGATAAGAATTCACCATCCAAAACAGGGGACATGGGTTTCATCCGTGGTCTGGGAAGGTCTTCCACAGCACAGAGCAACTAAACTAGCGTGCTCCAAGTACTGAACCTGTGTGCCTATGGCCTGGGCTCTGCAACAAGAGAAGCCCACAGACCACAACTAGAGAAGGCCCTCATGCAACAATGAAGACCCACCACAACCAAAAATTAAATAAATGAATTAAAATAATAATAAATTTTAAAAATAAATAAATAAACAGGCATTCAAAAGGGAACTCCTTTGGAAGACAGTTTGCCCTCTATGTGATCAGAAAGACCACTTGTCCTCTATGTAATCAGAAAAACCACTTGTCCTCTATGTGATCAGAAAGACCGAAAGGAACATGAAATGGGACCGCCTTTTGGTTTTTTTTTTTTTAGGTGCTTATCATGTTTTATTGACACCATGTTGCCTTGAATATAATCTGAAGATATCTTTGGATATCATATTCTGTATGCAGGATATTAGCTCTTCCTTTTCTTGTATCTGAATCATTCCATCAAGGATTTATTATAGTTGGAGATAAGACCTTTGGAAGCAATGTCCCTTTTTTTTTTTTTGATGGAGCTAAGGTATATGGGATCTTAGTTTCCTGATCAGTGATCCAAGCTCACCCCTGCATTGGAAGAGCAGAGTCTTAACCACTGGACCACCAAGGAAGTCCAGGACTGACTTTCTTATTGTGTGATGCGGAATCATTTAACCACCTAAAGGCACTGCCCCACCCCTGTCCCCTGCCGCGGGAGCCCCCAGCCTGGGTGAGGGGACTTCCGAGGCGCCCCTACCGCAGTTTTCCTCGTCAGACTTGTCCTTGCAGTCAGGATCATGGTCGCAATGCCAGCTGGAGTGGATGCACTCGCCACTGCCGCAGTGGAACTCGAGGGCCGAGCAGGGGTTGTTGTCCTGCAGGGGGCCTGATGGGTGGGGGCTCCCACAGTGCCTTGGCCACTCGTCTGAGCCATCATCGCAGTCAGGGTCGCCGTCGCAGGCCCAGAGCTGGGGGATGCACATGGAGCTGTTGCACTGGAAGTTGGCGGGGCCGCAGGTGGGCATCGGGCAGGACGCCTCATCCGAGCCGTCTAAGCAGTCCAGGTCTAAGTCACAGACAAACTTTGGGGCAATGCACTTGCCGTCACTGCAGCGGAACTCATCCTGGGAGCACGTCTTGGGGGCTGCGGGGAGGACAGGAGAGGACAGCCTGGTCACCGGGGAAACCGCTCCCCAATCCCGACTCCAACTCTTCGCACAAATGGGGACACTGAGCTGAGGAGAGGCCAGAGCGCAGTGAGTGGACTCCCGGCAGTGGTCAGGGGACCTGGCCGACGACCACCCAGTTCCTGGGCCCCCTCTGGGCCTCAGTTTCCTCATCTGTTCCTGCCTCAAAGCATTACTGTGAGGACTGGGGTGTAAAGGTACATGGGACCTATATTTAAGAGTTTGCACAGGGAACTATAGTCAATATCTTATAATAAATATAGTGGAAAAGAATAGGAAAAAGTATGTATGTGTGAGTGTGTGTAACTGAATCACTTTGCTCTACACCTAAAACTAACCCAACACTGCAAATTAAATATACTTTAGTTTAAAAAGAATGGCTGAGTGGAGTAGGAAATGGCAACCCACTCAAGTATTCTTGACTGCAGAATCCCATGGACACAGGAGCCTGGCGGACTACAGTCCACGGGGTTGCAAAGAATCGGACACAACTTAGGCACTTGAGCATGCTCGCAGGCAACTTATAATTAAGTGTTCCTTTACTATATTAAAAGGCTTCCCTTGTGGCTTAGCTGGTAAAGAATCTGCCTGCAATGCAGGAGACCTGGGTTTGTTCCCTGGGTTGGGAAGATGCCCTGGAGAAGGGAAAGGCTACCCACTCTAGTATTCTGGCCTAGAGAATTCCATAGACTGTATAGACCATGGAATCACAAAGATTTGGACATGACTGAGAGACTTTCACTTCATTTTACTATTAAAAGCCTCCTTCATTTTATTAGTGGTCCTTGAATAGCTCTGAACGTTTGGAAATTGGGTGTTAAAGGAAGGTAAAGTAGAATATTTTGATCCGACTGGAGAAAACAGTTGTTTTTGAAATACCAGATAGTAAATGTGATCATCCTCCTTGACCTTCAGCTCAAATATCTCCCTGAAAATAATGCATTCAGGTTCAGAGGAAGCATAGAGACAGCATTTTATTTTTTTTTTATTTTTATTTTTTTTTAGAGACAGCATTTTAAATGTCACATCATTATAAAATGAAGAGGAGGTAATTGAGGCTTTAAAAAACAAAACAAAACCAAAAAATGACTGGGGACTTCTCTGACAGTCCAGTGGTTAGGGCTCCAGGCTCTCACTGCCAAGGGCCCAGGTTCAATTCCTGGTAGAGGAACTAAGATCCTGCAAGCCACTCAGAGTAGCCAAAAATAAAAATAAAAAATGCTGCTGTTATTATTATTTGCTTGTTTTTATTTACAATGACATTGGACTTTTTGAAAGTGAAAGTCGCTCAATCGTGTCCCACTCTGCGACCCCATGGACTGGGCAGTCCATGGAATTCTCCAGGCCAGAATACTGGAGTGGGTAACCTTGCCCTCCTCCAGGGGATCTTCCCAACACAGGGATTGAGCCCAGGGCTTCAGCATTGCAGGCAGATTCTTTATCAGCTGAGCCACGAGGGAAGCCCAAGAATACTGGAGTGAATAGCCTAACCCTTCTCCAGGGGATCTTCCCAACCCAGGGCCTGAAACCAGGTCTCCTGCATTGCAGGCAGATTCTTTACCAACTGAGCTATCAGGGAAGCCCATATTGGACTTTTTAAGTTGAAGTATAATTGACTTACAAAGCTGTGTTAGTTTCAGGTGTTCAACACAGTGACTCAGTGATTTTAGACAGCACGAAATGATCACCAATCTAAGTCTACTTACCGTGTGTCACCCTACAAGGTTATCACCATCTTATTGACTACATTTACCATGCTGTGCATCACATTTATTTTACAGGAGGAAGTTGGTTCCTATTAATCTCCCTCCTCTATTTTACTCATCCTCCCACCTCCTGGGTTTGATGGTACTGTTATTTTTTTTTTTTTAACTTCTTCAGTTTTATTGTACATACATGTCAATCTTTTTTTTTTCCCATTGTGGATGGAGTTTAATAAATTTTTTTAAAAAGTTGGATTGAAGTAGAGTTGATTTCCAATGGTGTGTTAATTTCTGCTCTACAGCAAAGTGACTCAGTTATACATACATGTATTCTTTTTCATATTCCTTTCCATCATAGTTTATCACAGAATATTGAATATCATTTCCCTGCCCTATACAATAGGACCTTGTTGTTTATGCTGGTGTTATTAAAGAGTCAAAAGAAACAGTAATTATGTGAAATGATGAAGGTGTTAAATAACCCTATTGTGTAATCATTTCACAATATATATGTGCATAAAATCATCACACTGGACACTAAACTCACACCATGCTACATGTCAATTATATCTCAATAAAGCTGGAAGAAAAAACAAAACACTTGGAAAAGAGGCCCAATCCATTTTATTTTAAAATGTTCCTCAGTGAGAACCAAGGTTACATATGCATCTCTAAGCAAACACTCACTTTTGGGGTTGCTTTTTTTAAAAAAGACTCTCTCAGGGGGTTTCATATTTTGTGAACCTGAAGATTTGATGTGATCTCAATTATTTAAATTTCCCCCAGGGTGTTTTTTTTTTTCTAAGAGCCTTACTTTGTTTTAAAAAAAATCTACACAACTGGAAAAGAAATTCTAAATAATGAATAAAATCAAAGAGGCAAGACAGAACCAGCTGCAGAGTGCCTTCCCCTCTGAAACTCTCTATGGTTTGGAGCAAACTCTGACCTCAGCCAGGAACCCAGTCAGGTCACTTGGACACGGCTAGGATCCGCGGGCCACCAGACAAGGGACCCCACTTACGACAGCCTTCCTCGTCCGAGCCGTTCTCGCAGTCCACCTGGCCATCGCATCTCCAGGACTCTGGAACGCAGCGGATGACACGGCCCCCACAGCTGAAGTCCCCCATCTTGCAGGTGACAGACTCTACGGGAGAAACAGAACTGAAGCTTAACTCAGAGGGAAGACCGACCCACCTTGCCACTCCGAGCTCTGCAAGGGAAGAACCCAGAGTTTTCTGATAGAAGTTTCAGGCCCACTTTTCTGGACCAAAATGAAGGAAATTTAATGGAACTTTTTAAAAATTAGTTGCTGAGGACTTCCCTGGGGGTCCAGTGGCTAAGACTCCGTGCTCCCAATGCAGGGGTCTGGGTCAGGGAACTAGATGCCACATGCCACAGCTAAAGATCCCGCATGCCACAAAGAAGACTGAAGATCTTGCATGCCGAACTTAAGACCCAGCGCAGCCAAATAATTTTTTTTTTTTTTAAGTTAGATGCTGGTTGTTGCAAAGGTTTTGGAATGAGATAGAAGTGGTGGTTGCAAAGCATTGTGAATATATTAATGCTACTAAACTGGTCACTTTTTTTTTTTAATTTAAAATTTTGGGGTAGCTTTTTTAAAAATCAAAGCACAGTTGATTTACAATGTTGTGTTAATTTCATGTGTACAGCAAAGTGACTCAGTTATACGTGTGTGTATATATATATGTTTTCTTTAGATTCTTTTCCATTATAGGTTATTATATTATAGGTTAAAATATTGAATACAGATCCCTGTGCTATATGGTAGGTCCTTGTTGATTATCTATTTTATATATAGTAGTATGCATCTGTTAATCCCAAATTCCTATTTTATTCCTACCCCCAATGGCTTAATTCAGTGGTTAGGACTCCAAGCTTCCACTGCAGCTGTTATAGGTTCGATCCCTGGTTGGGAAACTAAGATCCCACAAACCACCTGGAGTGGCCAAGAAAACAAAAAACAAACACACAAAAAGGCTAATTCGTGAGACTTCCCTGGCAGGCCAATGGTTAAGACTTTGCTTTCTAACATAAGGGGTGAGAGCTCGATACTGGTTGGGAAGCTAAGATCCCCATGCCTTAGAAGCCAAAAACCTAAATCATTAAGAAGCAATATTATAACAAATTCAATAAAAACTTTAAAAATGGTCCACCCCCTAAAAAAATAACAATCTTAAAAAAGGGCTAGTCTGTGTAACATGAACCACAATGAAAAAAAAAGAGCCTTTAAAGGAAAGTTCCAATAATATTGTCTCTGTGTGCATGCTAAGCGTTTCAGTCCTGTCCAGTTCTTTGCGACCCCATGGTCTATAGCTTGCCAAGCTCCTTTGACCATGGAAGAATACTAGGCAAGAATACTGGAGTGGGTTGCCATACCCTCCTGCAGGGGATCTTCCCAACCCAGGGATCAAATCTTTTGCACCTCCTGCATTCCAAGTGGATTCTTTACCTCTGACACACCTGGAAAGCCCAATATCTTCTCTGCCCATCTCCTAATTCATAGAAGAATACATTAGTATGCTTGTCAATTTCTACCAAGTCTGTCACCCAATATCATCAAAGCACTTTGCCATCCAACAGAAATTAACAGATTTAAAATGTTTAAGTGTAACACAACTACACTTAGATTAAAAAAAAAAAAGGAGTTCAAAAGAAAAGGTTAGGACACATGTCACGTCCAAAGGTGGAGAGAAACTCACTGCACGTCTCCTGGGATTCATCAGAGCCGTCTTGGCACTCAGCAGTCCCATCACAGACCCACTTATAGGAGATGCATTTCCCATCTCGGCACTGAAACTCGTTTCTCCCACAGTTGTCTTCCACTAAAGAGAAGGAAAGGAGAAGGGAGAATCAGGGCTGGGATCACAAAACGACCGCATTCTTTGTGTCTCTTTCCTGCCAAGTGAAGGATGAACTAGAAATACAATCTTATTGCAGCAGACAGGTCTCCAGGAAAGAAAGCATGCACAGCAGTTAAACTGAGTGAACCAAAAGTATAATGGAGGATGCAAAGAACACTTCTTAAAAAGAGACTCATCTCCAGTGTGAGATTCTGACATCATGGTTGGTGAGTCCAAAGTGTGGATCCATTGGGCGATGGGGACAAAATATTAGAACCTGGGTGCACATTAACAAAGAAAAGGACATGATTGAGCATGTCACAAACCTGTACTGGAGACAGTACCAAGGAAAATTGAGACTGCAAAAGCATTAAGCTGGAGGAAAACTTGAAAAGCTTTCTCCAGTAGGTAGAAAGGAACTAAAGAGATAAAAATTGGAACTTCTCTCATGGTCCTGTGGTTAAGAACACGCATTCCAGTACAGGGGACACAGGTTTGATCCCTAGTTGGGGAACTAAGATCCCACCTACTATAGGGCAACTAAAGATCCCACCTGCTAGAGGGGAACTAAGATCCCACCTGCTAGAGGGCAACTAAGCTCGTGCACCCCAACTAGAGAAGCCCACACGATGCAGCTGAGACCCAGCACAGCCCCCACAAAAAGGGTGTATGTGTTATGAGAAATTATTAATGTAGAGGTCAGAGAGCAGAGGTCCAGCAGAGAACATAATCATATAACTAAATTTCAGATCTAAAGAAATGGGTTGTTGCTGTTCAGTTGCTGAGTTGTGTCCAACTCTTTTCGACCCCATGGACAGCAGCATGCCAGGATTCCTTGTCCTTCACTGTCCCCCGGAGTGGGGGCTGCTCTCTAGTTGCGGTGCTCTGGCTTCTCGCTGTGGCAGCTTCTCTTGTGGCGGAGCACAGGCTCTAGGCCCACAGGCTTCAGTAGTTGTGGTGCATGGGCTTGGCTGCTCCGAGGCATGTGAGATCTTCCCGGACCAGGAATCAAAATCGTGTCTCCTGCATTGGCAGGCAGATTCTTTACTCCTGAGCCACCAGGGAAGCCCCTCTAAAATATACGACTTTTATACCTTGTGGCTCAGATGGTAAAGAATCTGCCTGCAATCTGGGAGATCTGGGTATGATCCCTGGGTGGGGAGAATTCCCAGGAGGAGGACATGGCAGCCCACTCCAGTATTCTTGCCTGGAGAATCCCATGGACAGAGGAGGCTGGCAGGCTACAGTCCATGGGGTCACAAAGGGTCGGACACAACTGAGCAACCAAGCACACAAACAGAGCAAAATAATCCTGACTGTATTTAGTTTTAGATATCATGCTTTGATTCGGGGTCATTATTACATGTGAGCTATGATCACAGCAAACTTTTATTGTGAAAGTTGCTCATTCCAACTCTTTGTGACCCCATGGAATATGCAGTCCATGGAATTCTCCAGGCCAGAGGACTGGAGTGGGTCAGTTAGTCATTTCAGTCACTCAGTTGTGTCAGACTCCTAGGGACCCTATGTATTGCAGCACACCAGGCTTCCAATAAACTTTTATTGGTTGATAATAAAATTGGTATCACTCCTTTAATCTTTAAATATAGACTTTGATCCCCTTTGTAATCTAAAGTAACACAGTTAATAAAAATTATGATCCAGTTCATCTCAGGATAAGGAAATAAGACCAAGAAAGAAGAAGCTAGCAGAAATTTCCTCATGAGTCAGACATTCTGAAGGCAAATGATATGTAAAATATAAATTCAGGCTGATGGCTACATTTATTATATTTTTCACTACTCTCATAAGAAGATTAAGAACGTTTATTCTTTTATCACTTTATTTTGAATGTTGACCCTAACCAAAAAAATTAGTTTAATAGTTTGCACAAAATGTATTCATTTGCTCATTTTGCACAAAGGCAATTAATGAACTCTTCGTGTGCAAGGCAGAAACTATGTCTCCAGAATTAGAAACTTCCAGACAAAAAGGACGGAAGATGGTAGATCCTTGAATGATTCTTCTCATGCAAGAAGTCTCTTCTTCCTTCATTCTGCATATGGGAAAAGAAGATTCAAGATCTTACATGCTTTGTGTCTTTTTATGTATTCAGATTTTTTCCCCTTGATATTCTCTTTAAGTGGACTTTCTGGGTGACCCAGATGGTAAAGAATATGCCTGCAATGCACGAGACACAGGAGACTTGAGTTTGATCCCTGGGTCGGGAAGGTCCCCTGGAGGAGGAAATGGTAACCGACTCCAGTATTCTTGCCTGGAGAATCCCATGGACAGAGGAGCCGGGTGGGCTACAGTCCATGGGATTGCAAAGAGTTGGACATGGCTGAGCATGCATGCATGCACATTCTCTTTAAACACTCAAGTTTTTTAAAGATTCATTTATTTGCATATTGACTCTGCTGAGTTTTCGTTGCTATGTGAGGGCTTTTTCTAGTTGCAGTGAGCAGGGGCTACTATCTAGTTGCAGTGTACAGGCTCTAGCATGTAGATTCAGTAGATGTGGTGCACAGGGTTAGTTGCTCCGTGGCATGTGGGATTATTCTAGACCAGGGCTCCAACCGATGTCCCTTGCATTGCAAGGTGGATTCTTAAACACTGGAGCACCAGGGAAGTTTGAGACCTTCAAGTTTTAACTGAGCACATTACCCAAGGGAGGATCTATAATTTTTCCCAGCTTCCTTTGCAGCCAGGTGTGGCCATGGGACCAAGTTTAAGTTAGTGAGCTGTGAGTGAAAGTAAATGTGCAAACTTCACGACCTTAGAGGGTGGCACCGACAAGTTGATTCCTACCAGTGAGCATTTTGCCCCTCTTACCCTCAACGTACAAGATAAAAACAGACCTAATTAGATACAGTGGAAGGTCAAGCCATAAAAATAAGAATGATCAAAGGCACTCTTTGAAGTATGGCTCCCTGTGTCCAATTGCTAATCATCAGCCTTGCCCTTAACGTTCGGCAATAAAAAAGAACGAAATAATGCAATTGGTAGCAACATGGATAAACCTGGAGATTATCATACTAAGTGAAGTAAGCCATGCAGAGAAAGATGAATTTTATACAATATCATTTATATGTGGAATCTTAAAAAAAAAAAAGATACAAATGAACTGATTTAAAACAGAAATTAGACCCACAGACATAGAGAACAGTAGCATGTATATGTCCTTAATCTCTTAATTTATTCTGTCCCTCACTTCTTTCCTCTTTGATAACCATAATCTGTTCTACCAGTTTATTGTTACCAACCCATCTCCCTCCACCCTTGTGCACACATGCTCAGTCATGTAACCCCATGGACTGCAGCCTGCCAGGCTCCTCTGTCCATGGATTTTTCCAGGCAAGAATACTGGAGTGGGTTGCCATTTCCTTCTCCATGAGATTTTTAACTATAGTAGGAAGCCATCACAAATATCAAGATATTTTAAAATGTTGTGTGTTTGATTTTTATCTCACCTTTTTAAACATATCTGCTTTTCTGTATAATTATGGTTTTTACTGTACACAAGATGATAGCATAGGTATATGACAAATAATTATATTAAGGAGAACATGATGGATCTGGTAAAAAAAAAATTTCACAACCTCAGATCCCAAAGCTCTGCAGTCCCTTCTGGTACAACACTCCCTCCTGGCTCCCTCCTCTTTACTTGGCTAACAGTTCAGCTTCGAAGCTCACCTTACCTGAAGCTGGGTTTAGCAGCCCGTGGGCTTCCCAGGTGGCGCTGGTGGTAAAGAACCCACCTGCCAATGCAGGAGATGGTTAAGAGGCGAAGTTTGAGCCCTGGGTCAGAAAGATCTCCTGGAGGAGGGCATGGCAACACACTCCAGTATTCTTGCCTGGAGAATCCCATGGACAGAGGAGCCTGGCGGGCTACAGTCCATGGGGTTGCACAGAATTGGACACAACTGGAAGTGATTTAGCACACATGCATGCAAGCGCTCTTAAAACACCCATTTCTCACTCCTAACATACAAGATCGAACGCATTTGTTTATCGAGGCCCCCAGCCTAGATTTAAACTCCTGGAGAGTAAGGAATGTCTTTTTCTTCCTTTCACTGTGAAACCCTCAGAGCCCAAGGCCTGAGTCAAAACAAGATTCGTTAAGCTGGTACGCCCCAATCAGGGACAGATCCATCATCTCACTGGGCAAAGATTTTGGAAAAGTGGAACTCTTCTAGTTCCATCTCTTCGGAGGGCAAGAGGGCAGAATCTGTCAAATTTTAAAGTGCAAAGTCCCTGGGACCCAGAAGAATTATTAACACAGATGTATAACAATGTCAAGTTCAAAAAGGTCCAAAGCTTTTTTTTTCCCCACTGAGCAGTGTGGCTTGTGCGGTCTTAATTCCTCAACCAGGAATCAAGTTTCTGCCCCCTACAGTGGAAGCTCGGAGTCCTAACCACTGGACAGTCAGGGAATTCCCTGTCCGGTTTCTTTTGCTCGAGTACATACTATACATGTGCCGTTCTAGCTCAGGCACAACTAACCGATAATGATAGAAACTGGGCTTTCCTGGTGGCTGAGATGTAAAGAATCTGCCCGCAATGCAGGAGACGCGGGTTTGATCCTTGGGTCAGGAAAATCCCCTGGAGAAGGAACTGGCAACCCACTCTAGTATTCTTGCCTGGAGAACTCCATGGACAGAGGAGCCTGGTGGGCTACAGTCCATGGGGTCGAAAAGAGTCGGCACAACTGAGTGACTAACACTTCCACTTTTCCCAATGACAGAAATCAGATTAGAGGTGCCTCTGGTCTGCGTCTGGCAGGTGAGTAAGCTGAAGAGAGCCGGGAACTTCCTGGGGGAGAGAAGTCCTCTAGGTCCTAATGAGAGGTGGTTACTCGGAAGTAGATCTCTATCTCAACTCACTGAACTCTTATCTGTCGATTTTATAGTATGTCAATTGCCTCTTTAATTCAAAAGAAACAAATTATGGGTCTTCAAAGCTCATTGTCCAGTGTTCCTGCCCAGAGGAACAGTCAGGTGAGGTTAGGAGAGAGATGAGTGGAGGGGTGGAGGAGGCTATAGGTGATAAAGAGAGAAATACAGAGAGAAATACATACAAGGAGTGTTTAGAAGCATCAACAGAACTTGGTAACTGAACTTACAGAGACCAGGTTGGAGGTAACCCCAGTGGAGAGCTCAGAGAGATTCAAATGAGCTGAATCTAGAATCTGCCGCTATCGGAACACAAACTGATAATGCATTGCCCAGCTACTGATCCAGACAGGACATCACCCTCTGAGGTGCCTCTGCAATATACCCCACACCCATTGACTCACAGCTGAATCGTGATTATGCCTGAAAAAGGAAATGACTCACTTCTGGCTTCCCACATGGGGTGGGTAAAAAGCAATCGAAATTCCAGGACTCTTAGGAAAAAAAAGTTTAAAAAAAAAAAAAGGAAGTTCAGGCAAGGGGCATTCTCTACAGAGGAGGAGGATTATGGAGGAGGAACTTCTGCCATCTGCTCTCACAGCCAGGAGATGGCAGTTTCAATTATCGCAAATCCACTTTGCCCAAGGAACCATCTCACACGCAGAATGTGCTACTGGAAAGGCTAAAAATATTAAACCATCTTGAAAGTGCAAAAATGAAAGTGTTAGTCGCACAGCCGTATCCAACTCTTTTGCAACGCCATGAACTGTACCCCATCAGGCTCCTATGTCCATGGGATTCTCCAGGTAAGAATATTGGAGGGGGTTGCCATTTCCTTCTCCAGGGGATCTTTGTGACCCAGGAATCATACCCAGGTCTCCTGCATTGCAGCCAGATTCTTTACCATCTGAGCCACCAGGGAAGCCCTACTGGAAAGGCTAGAAACATTAAACCATCTTAAAGCCCTTTAAATAGGGATAAAGAGGATCTTCTCTGGTGGTCCTCTGCACTCCCAATGCAGGGGCGCTGGGTCCGATCCCTGGTTGGGGAACTAAGATCCCACATTCTGCAACTAAGCCCACTTGCCAACAAACTATAGAGAGCCCCCACCTCGAAACAAAGATTCAGCACAGTCAAAAATAAAAATTACAATAATAACAAAAGTAAGAGAGAGAAAAGAACAACCCGCTTCCCTGGACACCAACGAGCCCTCCCCTGGGCAACAGTTAATCAAATATTTTCTTGTCATAGATGGCTGAAGACCCTACCAACAAGAAGACCCACTACTACGTATTTCTATCTGAACAGCTGTTCATCCAACAGCTGGCCATCAGCTGTAACGTGTGAATGGATTTCACTGACAGCAGTCAGCTGGGAAATGTCTCGTGGCCTTGCTTATATGGCCGAGGATAAGGGACAGTGAGCACCCAGGAGAGCACCTCAAGATGGCTGTCCCGGCAGTGGGCAATCCCGACTTGAGCGAGGAGTCAGAACTAGTCCTATTTCAAACACCACAGCCCAGAGAAACCACAGCTTTTCTTATTTCCTCCCAGTTCCACAAGCAAGGTTTGGGTTTTGTATGTCAGTTTCAGTTGAATTCCAGCAAAAGCAAACCAGAGCGCCACATCCCATAACTCCTCATACTGGGGATGCCTAAAATTATATAAGCAACACACTCCCCCCCCCCCCCCAAAAAAGATAACAATCGAAACTCTAGCCCTTAGACCTCTCCTGTCACGGGTGAGGAATCAGGAACAAGGTTATCGAAACAAAAAGGAGAATATACATTTCTGCTTTTTCTCCAGCACACATATGAGGTGGTAAATGCTTTCAAGGTTTTCTTTCCGCAGATACTGAAGATAGTGGTTGTTCAGGAAAACCAAAATAATACATGGAGGGAATTCCCTAGTGGCCCCGAGGTTAGGACTCAGTGCTTTCACTGTCAGGGCCTGGGTTCAACCCCTGGCCAGGGAACTAAGATCCTACAAGTCGAGAGGCATGGACAAAACAAAAAATTAAAAAATAAATACTTGGAATCATTTTCTTGAAAAAGAAATGGCTGGGGTCTTCCTTGGCGGTCCAGTGGTTGGGACCTTGCATTCCAGTGCAAGGGATGCGGGTTCAATCCCTGGTTGGGAAGCTAAGATCCCACAGGCCTCAGGGCCAAAAAAACCGTAAAACAGAAGCATTATCATAACAAATTCAATAAAGACTTTCAAAAAAAGATGTTCCACACCAAAAAAAAATCTTTAAAAAAAAAAAGAGAGAAAAAAAATGGCTGAAGCTAAGATACTTAGCAGAAAATGAATGAAAAATCCTTTCACCAAGTGCTCTTTCCCACATGAGGGACCACCAGGGTATTTTCCCCAGAGGTGATCTCTGTGGTCGAGTTTGTTGTCTGCTCCTTTGAGGGAGGGGTAGCCAGTTTCTATCGCTGTTCACTGTTGACTACTTGCATGGTATCTTAGCAACACATGGTTACTTGCTAGACAGCAGAGCAGAGTGTGGATGCTGTTAACATACTGAATGTGGGATGTGAAAGGCGATCAACACTGAGCAAAAAAGACATCTAGAATTGGATCTTATTAGGGGAGGAGCCCTACAGATATAAGCAGGAATGCCCTAGAAAGACAGAATGAGGCAGATATTTCTCTTAAAGGTTTGCAGTCTCAGAAACATTCCCCCTATCTTTAGTGTTGCCCGGAAAGATAAATATGCCTGACAATGACCAGTGAATCCCCCTGGGGCTTGTTGTTAAAGCAGTTGTTGTTCAATCCCTAAGTTGTGTCCGACTCTTCCGGATCTCACAGACTGCAGCATTCCAGGCTCCTCTGTCCTCTACTACCTCTCAGAACTTGCTCAGATTCAAGTCTGTTGAGTCAGTGATGCTATCTAACCATCTTATCTTCTGTTAAAGCAGACACAACTTAGTGGGAACACTCTACTTTCTGAGTTTGGGTGTGTCCCTGGCATATTTGATACCCCACACACAACTGTCAATTAATTGATTTGGCTAAAGGAAAGCAAGCAGTTAAGATGCCAATTTACTACCATTCCCAAAGTAAACAGACAAGAAATTCCCGCCCCCTCGGGGCAAACTGGAGTAGCCAGGGCTGCTACAAATGTCTACCATCAAGTTAACAACAGAGTAGATACTTAGTGGAATACACAGTAGAATACTGGAGTGGGTTGCCATGTCCTTCTCCAGGGATCTTCCGGACGCAAGGATCGAACCCAGGTCTCCCACACTGCAGGCAGATATTTAGTAGCTGCCCACTCACTCTCAGGAGTCTGGGGAACACACCCAGACTCAGAGCCTCCTTGAGAAGCAAAATACATCAGATCCTCAAGCTGCCCAGTGAAAAAGGAAACTGAAGCAACATATCTTGCTCAATGAAACTTCACTGCCATTAATTTCCTCTTAGGGAAGGAGTGGATCTGTGTGAAATACAGGCTCATCAACTGTCTCTTTACCAAGCCACCATCCCTTTACTTCACACAACCCAATTGCCTAATTATTACAACCCTCTACCATGTGGCTGAAATCCTCCTTCCTTTCCTCCCAGAGAAAACTGTGATGTGTGTGTCACAGGTGCTGATTCCAAGGGTTCAAAGGTCTCTGCTCAAAGCCACCCCTCCCCCCCATTAAAAAAATCTTCCTGCATCCTGTTCACGGGACGATTTCAACACTTTTCTAGGCCCAGCTGGCTGTTAAGTAGGAAAAGGACCTTTTCTTTATTATCCAGGGCGAGGTCAAATGCCTCTCTCAGCCACTGGATAACTCAGAATATTGCACCAACTAGCCTCTTGCCCAAATCTAAAATTCAAACCCCCTAAAATGAAACGTTGTCATGAGAGCAGCTCAACTGAACTCATTTTAGCGCCTCTGAACAAACAGGGCCATCCCAAAGGCGTCCATCCGGTCCCCGACTCTCGGTCCCTGCCCAGGCGCGAATGAAAGTCTCCGTTAAGTGCCCTTCACGTCCGATCCGGGAAGGACTGGAGTTTCTAGGCAACTTTTCACACTGGGAAGGAACTGAGACCTTGAAGGTGGTTTGGGGGTCACGTTTGCGAACTTTTCCCAGTCGGGCGGGGTCAGAGAAGCTCCCGAGGACAAAGTGGGTACCAAGGCATCACTGCGGATAGGGGAGGAGACAGGCCTTGGCCGAGCGGGCCTCAAGCGCTAGGCGGGCACCTCATCTATGCTTGCAGAGCTTCTTCAGGGGCCCGGGACTTGTCGCATCCTTTCTGACGGAAGCCCCGGACGACCCGAAGAATCTCCTTCGACATCCTCACAGAGATCTAGGTAAGGCGCGAAGCGTGCGCCAGCCCCGCCCCGCACCGCTCGGCCTCAGCAACCACCGCCTCCCATTGGCCAAGGGGTGTGGCTCGAGGCTCGCCTGTTCGAATAGCGTCCAATGGGAGCTCGGGGGAGGGTCCACGGGGCTGAAGGCGGGGCTGGAGGAGGTGGCTAAGGGCGGAAGCTTGGTGCAGGTTAGACTAGTCCCGCGCCGCTTCCAGAGGCAGCGTCGCCCTTGGGAAGCATAAGGCCGACTTGACCGCCGTCGTAACCCGTGAGGGTGAAACGATGTTGGGGAGCGCTCATAGGGGCCTCCAGGCTGAGCAGCCCGTTTTCGGGCTCGTCTCACCCCTGCAATAACTCTGGGAGGGAGTACCTCCTCCTAACGCGTATCCGGCTCTAAGAAAAGGGGAGTGGTCCGCCATCGCGGGGAGACTTGTGGGGAAAGCCGCGTCGCGTTTCTCTACCAGACCCCTCAGACACCTACCCCCCGAACCCTTTTCCCAATCCAGCCATTGGGGAAGGACTTTGTGCCATTTACCCACGCCTTCCATGGATTGAATGATTCTTCGTTTTCTCTCCCGCCGGCCCCCCAAAATACCAAGGGGCTCCCCGAATTCAGGAGCTCATTCCTATGGCGCGCGGGCTTCTGGAGCCAGCCTTACCTGCAGCATCCCCCGCAGCTATGAGCAGGGCGATGGCCCAGCGCAGCCCCCAGCCCGCGAGCCTCATGATCCCAGCCTCCGCTTGTCACGCCCCGGCCCAGGCCGCTGTCCGCCCTCAGTGACCGCTCTGGAAATCCGGGCTTCGCGCGGCCCGGACGCGACTGCACGCGGGGCCCCAGTCATTTGCAGCATTTCTATGTGAGGTTTCCCGGAGAGGGAGGAGTTTGCAGTGGGGTGATTTTCAAATATCTTCACCTCACTGTGGGAGGAGGAGTTTGGAGAGGAGGAGTTTCAAACGGCCGATGTGACATATGCTCCTTAACCCATGAAGCCCTGACTCAGATTCCAGTTCTTTCCAAAGCTGGTCCAGGACAGGCTGCAGGGTTTGTCGCAGGAAGAGCTGAGCCGCCCCCACGCCCACCCTCAAAATGAAATCCCTCATCTCCCTTAAATTTCTCTCAAATTTTGATTCTTATGTTCTCTTTGGTGCCCAAAGAAGATTCGATCTGTCCTTCCAAATCGTCTTAATTGGCCAATGACATCTCCCCTCTGACTCAAAACCAAAAACGAGATGTTGGAAACTTACCCCCCACCCCTTTTCTCTACTTACCTTTCTCCTTTCTAGGAATTGTTTATAGATTTTAACTGTTTCGTCATATACAGTTTTAGAGGGTTCTTCCAAATTGCCCCATAAAACAGTTATCAGTGATGCATTTAAATAAAATCATCACAAAAGTACAGGCAAAGACCGATTTTGTTTTGTGGGATCCAGCACTTGGATGAATTATGGGCCAAAACATCTCTGAAATCAACTGACCCCATACCTGGGGTCTGGACATAAATATTGATTTATCTTATTCAGAGAAAGGGTTGAACAAACAGAGTGGCCACTTCCTCTCCTCAAAGCCAAATCAAAACAAACTGGAAATTTCAGAGCTGAACCTGAATGCCTAAACCACCAAGAGCTGATGGTGAACAGCTTTTAAGAATCAGGGTGTCTCTTTGGTGGAGATTCATGAACTTGCCAGGGCCCCTTGCCAAAAAGCCCTCCTATAAAGGGTCTGGCAGTTTGGGAGGGTTCTCTCCGGAATGAGCAGAGTTCTCTGAGGTTTTACCAGCTGAGCTTGCAAGCTTACTAACCTCTCAGCAGGCTTTCAGAGAAACCCAGGAGAGAAGGCAGAAAAGAGGCAGAGAGGAGATAATTGAACTCTCAGAAAGAAAAACAGTGATTAATCCAGGAGAAGAAATTTATAAACAGTGTCTGGCAGTATAGAGCCCCAGCTTCTAAATCATACAGAATTTGGATAAGTCACTTAGCTTTGCAAATTAAAAAAGTGGGACATTGGGACTTCCCTGGTGGTCAAGTGGTTAGGACGCCATGTTTTTACTGCAGAGGGAGTGAGTTCCATACCTGGTCGGGGAAGTAAGATCCCATAAGCCTCAAGGCAGCACATGAGAGGGCAGGGTGGGGGAAGAAGATAAAATAAAAACGGGGGGAAAAGTAATGCTTACTTCCCTTACTTGGCAGGTTCAGTGTCAGGGTCAAAATGAAATTATGAATAATCTTGCCTGCAGAAATTGACAAGGATGGGCAAGTTCTGGGAGTTGCAACATTTATGAATGTGTCACCCTCCATTCCATTCTTTATAACATATTAACATATGCTCCTTCTTCCCCCCTTAAAGTCAGGAGCACTAGGTTTGATTTCCCTTCTGAAAAATTACAAGACCTCACAGACTGTTTCTGTTGCGAGCCCAGCTTTCTTTGATCCATCTGGTGGTAGGTGACTTGTTCTGCCCAACAGCCCTGGAAAGAGTTACCAGGAAGAGACTGTCTTCCAGAGAGGACTTAGCTTACTTAACATGTGTTCAGAGCTAGTTGTATGGAGATATAGGGGCAGGCCTGGAAAAGGGCTGAAAAAAAACCCTGAAAAGAACATTCCTGGAGGGCTCAAGCCTGGGCAAGAATTCTGGGATGGTTTAACCCAGGAGTCCGTTTGATCTGTCTGAAGAAATCTCAAGGTCCTTTCTGTTCCTGCCACTTGAGCATATATTGCCCTGAGGATGGAGTCACACTGTTTAAATTTCTCTACTTCTTGGAGCCTCCATATGCTCTTCTATAACTTACTCGTAGGGTTCTTGTGAGGATTAAGTAAATTTATATATATATATATATATATATATATATATATATATATATATATATAAATGATTATATAAAATGATTATATAAATAATTGTATATAGCACTGTTGTGTGTTTTATTTATTTTTACATTTGGCTGTGCTGGGTCTTCTGCTATGTCTGGGCTTTTCTCCAGTTGCAGCAAACAGGGGATGCTCCGCGTTGCAGTGCTCAGACTTTTTTTTTAAATTAATTTATCTTTTTATTGAAGGATAATTGCTGTTCAGAATTTTGTTGTTTTCTGTCAAACCACAGCATGAATCAGCCATAGGTATACATATATCCCCTCCCTTTTGAATCTCCCTCCCATCTCCCTCCCCATCCCACCCCTCTAGGTTGATACAGAACTCCTGTTTGAGTTTCCTGAGCCATACAGCAAATTCCCATTGGCTATCTATTTTACATGTGGTAATGTAAGTTTCCACATTACTCTTTCCATACATCTCACCCTCTCCTCCCCTCTCCCCATGTCCATAAATCTATTCTCTATGTCTGTTTCTCCATTGCTGCCCATTAAATAAATTCTTTAGTACCATTTTTCTAGATTCTGTATATATGTGTTAGAATACAATATTTATCTTTGTCTTTCTGACTTACTTCACTCTGTATAATAGGTTCTAGGTTCATCCACCTCATTAGAATGGATTCAAATGCACTCCTTTATAGGGCTGAGTAATATTCCATTGTGTATATGTACCGCAACTTCTTTATCCATTCATCTGTCGATGGACATCTAGGTTGCTTCCAGTTCTAGCTATTGTAAGTAGTGCTGCAATGAACAATGGGATGGATGTGTCTTTTTCAATTTTGGTTTCCTCAGGGTATATGCCTAGGAGTGGGATTGCTGGATCATATGGTGGTTTTATTCCTAGTTTTCTAAGAAATCTCCATACCATCTTCCATAGTGTCTGTATCAATTTACAGCCCCACCAACAGTGCAAGAGCGTTCCATTTTCTCCACACCCTCTCCAGCATTTATTGTTTGTAGACTTTTTGATGATGGCCATTCTGACCGATGTGAGGTGATATCTCATTATAGTTTTGATTTGTATTTCTTAATAATGAGCGATGTTGAGCATCTTTTCATGTGTTTGTTAGCCATCTGTATGTCTTCTTTGGAGAAATGTCTGTTTAGGTCTTTTTCCCACTTTTTGATTGGGTTGTTTGTTTTTCTGGTATTGAGTTGTATGAGCTGCTTGTATATTTTGGAAATTAATCCTTTGTCAGTTGTTTCATTTGCTAAAAATATGGAATGCATCACAAATTTGCATGTCGTCTTTGCACAGGGGCCATGCTGATCTTCTGTGTATCGTTCCAGTTTCAGGATATGTGCTGCCGAAGCGGGCACATGCTCGGACTTCTTATGCGGTGGCTTCTCTTGTTGCGGAGCACAGGCTCTAGGCAAGTCAGCTTTAGTAGTTGTGGCATGTGGGCTTAGTAGTTGCAGCTCCTGGGCACTATAGCATGGGCTTCAGTAGTTGTGGCACATGGGCTTAGCTGCTCCATGGCATGTGGAATATTCTGAGACCAGGGATCAAACCCGTGCCCCCGGCATTGGCAGGCAGATTCCCATCCACTGTGCCATGAGGGAAGTCCTAAAGGATTATACATATAATGATTTTATATATAAATGATTGTATATATGTGTCACATATATGTAACAGTTCAGTTCAGTTCAGTTGCTAGGTCGTGTTCAACTCTTTGCGACTCCATGGACTGCAGCATGCCAGGCCTCCCTGTCCATCAGCAACTCCCGGAGTTTCCTCAAACTCATGTCTATTGAGTCCGTAATGCCATCCAACCATCACATATATATATGTATGTGTGTATATATATATATATATATATATATATATATATATATGCAATTGGGGACTTCCCAGGTGGCATTAGTGGCAATGAACCCACTTGCCAATGCAGGAGACATAAGAGACATGGGTTTAATCCCAGATCAGGAAGATCCCTTGAAGAAGGGCATGGCAACCCACTCCAGTTTTCTTGCCTGGAGAACCCCGTGGACAGAGGAGCCTGGCAGGCTACAGTCCATGGGGTCGCAGAGTTGGACACATATTGGAGCCATGCTTGTTTGGCACATAATAACCATAGTGTATCAGTTCCTTGTTTTGGTTTTGCCTGTCTTTGCAATGACATCTTTTTTTATCGCTCTTCTCTTTAGGGGAAACTTTTCTTCCTCACAGACACTTAAAAACAAACCTTCCATGGCATCCACTTAATCTAAAAGTTCCTAGGCTTGCAAAATCATCTAAACCCAGGGCATGTGTTTTCCTCATTCTGATGCCCTTTGTCCAGGTTTCCACCTCTCTTAAGTCACCAGGAGGCTCAGACCAAAATAGTTCTCCACCCAAAAGAGTCTGGTCTTTTGGCTAAGGTGAGTCTTCATAGCTGCCTTTGAAACAGAACTCAGCAGTCAGAGAGGGTGAGTAACCACAGGTGCCTCCCAAAGGGTACGTTTAGAGACCTGACTTGACGCTGTAGCCATCAATTTATCTACACAAGATGCCCATAAGCCATGTGAGGGCAGAGACAATATTGTATAGTATCTCTAGTGCCTAGCATTAGTAAGGGCTAAATAGATAAGTGAAAATAAGTGATATTATTTTTGATTTGCCTGCCAACAGCATTATAAATGCCCTGCTTCTGAATTCCGCTGTTGTTCAGTTGCTCAGTCATGTCTGACTTTCTGTGACCTCATGGACTGCAGCATGCCGGGCTTCCCTGTCCTTCACCTTCTCCTGGAGCTTGCTCAAACTCACTTCCATTGAGTCGGTGATGCCATCCAACCATCTCATCCTCTGTCGTCCCCTTCTCCTCTTGCATTCAATCTTTCCCAACATCAGGGTCTTTTCCAATGAGTCGGCTCTTC